AGGGGGGGAGATAGATAGATAGATAGATAGATAGATAGATAGATAGATAGATAGNAGGGGGAGATGATAGATAGATAGATAGATAGATAGATAGATAGATAGATAGAGAGAGAGAGAGAGAGAGAGAGAGAGAGAGAGAGAGAGAGAAACGGATACTTTCCGTTTTTTGTTGACTCCTGTATGTATACTGACCAGGGATCCAACCGAAGCCTTGCTACCTGGCCAGGGACTGGCGGTTGACTTTCAATGGGTGGCTTTAGCCCAGCTTCCCCTAAACAACTACCCAAATACGAATGACCTGGTCCCCAGCCGGGAGCCGGTCCCCCCGCCGCGCCCAGGGCGCAGCCCCTGTCCTCGACTCACCTGGGAGCAGAGCCCCAAGCAGGGCCAGGAGCGCCGGCAGCGCGGCTCGGGCGGCGATGGGAACCATGGCGACCTAGGCAAAGCGAACCTAGGAACGTGGAGCTGGGGAGGTTCGCCGGGCGCAGGCTGTGCCCCAGGGGCGCGCACATCTTTTATAGCGAGCGGCTGGCCACTCCAAAGGGCGGTGCTGCTTTCCCGGAAACCTCGCGTCTTCTGCAGATCCTGGCATTTCCGGATTCAGGCGCCCCTTCGCTGGCCGGCGGAGCGCGGGAATTTCCCAGCTGAAGAAATGAGACCACGGTGGTGATAGCGACCCCGGGACTGCTTCCGGACCTAAGGGTCTGGTCCTGGGGCAGGGTTAATCTTTTTTTTTTTTTTTGAAAAGGGTGAAGCGATTTTTTAAAAAAGTATATCTATAGTGATTTCAGAGAGAGTGAGGAGGAGAGAGAGTTGAAACATCAATGAGGAGAGAGTCATTGATACGCCCCCGACTGGGGATCAAGCCCGCAGCCCAGGCACCTGCCCTGACCGGGAATCGAACCTCGATCATCCTGGATCCTAGGTCGACGCTCAACCGCTGAGCCACGCGGGTTCGGCCCGGGTTAACCTTGATTGTGCATTTACACTGTGCTGGGCGCTTACAGCTATCCTTGAGTATTAGGGGCCGTTATTGTGCCCATTCTAGGTAGGGGTAAACTGGGGCCTGCGCTGCGAGGGGATTTGACTCCCCAGCGCTTGCAGGCCTGTTGAACCGAGTGGACGATCTCTCGCTGGCGTGGGGTCTCGGGAGTCCTCCCGAGGAATCCTCCGTCAAGGGTGTGCCTTCCCCAAAGGGCATGTCCCCGCCCAGCTGGCACCGAGATTTCCCGAGAAGCGGCCGGAGCGGGCCCGGGCACCTCCAGGAGCTCGCGTACGATGGCGGCGAGGACACGCGGGGGCGTCCCGTCCCGGGATCCGCGTTCCCCCACCGATGGGCGCCCCCACTCCTGAGGCCTCGCTTCGTGTTTCGGCTTTGGCCGCGGGGGCGCGTCTTTACAGCTTCAAGAAAGGGGAAGGAACCTCGTGGTCCTAGGGCGCAGAGCTCCCCTGCTGTTCCCAGGCTCCCCGAGGAAACTGAGGCCGCAGACCTAGAGGGAGGAGGAGGGTTTTTCCAAGGGAAACAGGCAGCTCCTAGGCCCCGAAGTGGGGCAGGGAGAGGGGGCGCTCAAGCTCCTGTCCACCCTGAAACTCGAACTCCAGGCGCCGGCGCTAAACGTGTGCGGGAACTTGCCCCGGCTAGTTCCCTTAGGGCGACCGCGACTCGGTGAAGCTCCGCGCCGCCTCCGCACGCCGCCCCCACGTCCCTCATCCGCGAGGTAGCAGCCCGTGCGTGTGACCCCAAGAGACTTGTCATTCACCGCGTCGTGTGGAAGGACTCGTTCTCAGGGCGCGCCAATCCTCGCCGCCAGGGGCTTCCTGTTGTGCAGGCCTTGCCGCGTCGCCATGGAGACCTGTGCAGGGCCAGGGGTTCGCGCAGCAGAAGGGGAAGGGAGGGGACCCGCCAAATGCTCCTGCCCTTCCTCTGAGAGACGGGGCTGAGAGTCGCCCGTATTCCAGAAACGCGTCCCTCCCCTAAGCGCCGGGGGTTCCTAAGGAATTTCCACGGGGATCTTTCTTCCGAGGCGGTGGAGGATTGTAAATTCCACCCCCAGAATGGCCTGGGGAAAGGTGCAGAGTAGGACCCTGGGACGTCCGTGCCCCCTCGGGGACCTGGGAAAATCCTGCGCGGGGTGTTCTTTTCCGGTGGATTTTTCTCAGGCTCGCATTACCAGGACCCTTGGCCTGGAACCCAAGTGCACCGCTGTTAGCTCCCCCAGCGGCCCAGGTGCCCCCTGCAGCCAGGAAAGCGCTCTCCCTACCCACACCGCTGCGCAGTGCTGATGGAGCGCCTATTCTGTTCCAGGCAGCATTCCTGGGGCTGGGAACACACAATGAAGAGGACAGCCCGGCCGGCGTGGCTCCACGGTTGAGCATCGACCTATAGGATACCTACCGGAGATCGCGGTTCGATTCCCGGTCAGGGCACAAGCCCGGGTTGTAGGATGGGTCCCCAGGAGGGGGCGTGCAGGAGGCAGCCGATCAAGGACTCTCATCATCGACGTTTCTGTTTCTCTCCATCTCCATTTCTCTCTCTGAAATCAATAAAGACATATATATTTTTTAAAAAAAGAACAGACAAAAATCTCTGCCATAGGGCTGAGATGGTCTTAGTGGGGGCGACAGACAAGAAATAAAAATAAAATAGATGAAGTGTTAGCTTGTTGTTAGTGCTAAGGAGAAAAAGTGGGGAAGGAGAGAGGAAGTATGAGGGTTAATGCACTTTTAAAAAATATGTTTTCATTGATTTTTAGAGAGAGGAAGGGAGATGGATAGAGAGAGAGAAACAGTGATGAGTCATTGATCAGCTGCCTCCTGCATGCCTCCTACTGGGGATGAGCCCTGCAACCCCGGCATGTGCCCTGAGGGGGAATTGAACCAATGACCTCTTGGTTCATGGGGCAATGCTCAATCACTGAGCCACAAACCCCGGGCAATGCACTTTTAAATAGAATATTCTGGGGAACACTGAGAAAGTGATATTTGAGCAAAGACCAGAGGGAGGTAAGGAGGGAACAGTGACCATATATACACATGTATGTGTATGTGTATGTGTATGTGTATGTGTATATATATGTTAATCCTCATCAAAGGATTTTTTTTCATTGATTTTTTAGAGAGAGTGGAAGGGAGGGAGGGGGAGAGAGGGAAGAGAGAAACATTGATGTGAGAGAGACACATTGAATAGTTGCCTCCTGCATGCACCCTGCCCAGAGTCTGGGATCGAGCCTGCAACCCAGGTATGTGCCCTTCACCAGGAATCAAACCCGAGATCCGAAGCCAGTGCTCTAAACACTGAGCCACACCAGCCAGAGCAAAGGAGCAGTGCCAAAAGAAGGCAGTGTATCAAAGAACGCTGAATGTACAAAGGCCCTGAGATAGGAGCTGCCTTAAGGAACTGTCAGGAGGCCAGTGTGCCTGGAGTGCAGTGAGGAAGGAGGAGAGTTAGAGGAGAGGAGGGCAGGAAGAGAGTGGGGCAGAGCATGCCTGCACTTGTGGGCTTGGGTGGGGGTAGGGGGAACTTTGGCTTTTCCTCTGAGTGAGGTGGGAGCCATGGAGGGTTCTGAGCAGAGGAGGGACAGGCCAGGCCTGACTCAGGTGTTTATACGCACTCTCCTGAGACTGTAGGAGCTCCAGTCAGGGAGTAGGAGGACAGGGTAGAAGACAGATGGGAGAGGAGGTGACTGTTCTAGTTTAGGCAAGTAATGACTGGACAGTGGTGTTGGAGAAGTGGTCGAATTTGGCATCTGTTTTTTGGCAGAGCCGACTGGACTTGCTAGAACATGGGGGCCAGACAGAGTCAAGGATGACTCCTTGGGGTCCTGCTCTGAGACTCAGGGCCATTTCCTGAGTGAGGATGAGATGGTAATGGGGGAGGATGTACCTTCCCATCTTACACTCCCCTTGTGTTTTTTCAAGGAAAAGGGAAACACATGGCCCCCAAATCTTTGCTGCCATCACCAGGAAAGGCAGGGCTTCCTCGAGGATGCCAGGCAGTCTCGGGCAGGCCAAGGAATAAGTTCAGGGCAGAAATAGCTATGCCTGACTCCATGGTGTTACACTTGCTCTTCCCTAACTCTGAGTTCTGGTGTGGGCACCTTGCAGTTTCCTCAGCCTGGAATGCTCTTTCCTCATCCCTGACATGGCTAGTGCCTATTTGCTCCCCACTTTCCTGAATGCCCCCCACCGTGATCCTGGACCACACCTTGTTCCTTCCCTGTTCCTTGCCCTAATGGGTTCATTACTGAAACTTCATTCACTTGCTGAAATTCTTTTATTTCATTGTCTGTGATCTCCATTTCTGTGAACTCCAGAAAGGCAGGGGCCCTGTGCACCCCAGAACCTGAATCAATGAATGGTCATTTTAGCAGGTGATCAATACATACTTGTTGAATAAATAAACTTCTCTTGTCTTTGAGCACTCTGCACATGCTGTTCCTCCTTCACCAGGAATTGAACCCAAATTTCCTTCCCACCACTTTTACAAAAGTTTCCTGAAGCATTTCACTCACAAGGTTGGCATGCAGGTAGTTTATCTGGGAGGTGATCCCAGGAAACACCTGGGGCAGGGGGAATCAGGGAAGGGAGACAGCAAAGGTGAGCATTAGCAGATTTCCCCTTTGAGGGCAACTGGAATTCATTTCACTGGGGAAATTTTGGTGATGGGTAGACTCCACCAATCTGTCCTCATTGGGTAAAGGCTGCTCCAGGAATGTCAACTCCATAATAATTTATATATATATATGTATATATATATGTGTATATGTATATATATGTGTGTGTATATATATATAATCTTTTAAAAAATTTTATTGATTGAAGAGAGATGAAGACAGAGAAAAACATTGATTTGTTGTTTCACTTATTTATGCATTCATAGTTGATTCTTGTATGTGCCCTGACTGGAAATAGAACCTGCAACTTTGGTGTATTGGGACAATGCTCTAACCGACTGAGGTACCTGGCCAGGGCTAGTATTTATTTATTTTAACTGTAAGTTTATACCTCTTGACCTCCTTCACCCATTTCCCCACCCTCTCACTTCCACCTCTGACAACCACCAATCTGTGCTCTGTCTCTATAAGTTGTTTATTTTTAAGATTCCACATACAAGTGAGATTGTACAGTATTGTCTTTCGTCTGACTTACTTCATTTAGCATAATGTCCTCAAGGCCCATACATGTTGTAAATAGCAAGAGTTCCTCCTATTTTTATGGCTGAATAACATTCCATTGTGTACATATGAACCACATCTTAACTCAGTAGTTGAGCATCAGCCTAGTGATCCAGGAGACCAGGTTTGATTCTCAGTCAGGGAACATGCCGGCGCTGTGGGCTCCATCCTCAGTCGGGGGCATGCAGGAGGCAGCCGATCAGTGACAACTCTCTTATCATTGATGTTTCTCTCTCTCTCCCTCTCCTTTTCCCTCTCCCTTCCTCTCTCTGAAATCAATAAAGATATATTTTTTAAAAAAATTTATTACCCGGCAGCGTGGCTCAGCAGTTGAGCATCGGCCTATGATATAGATCTGGGTTTGATTTCCGGTCAGGCACATGCCCGGGTTGTGGGCTCCATCCCCAGTAGGGGGTGTGCAGGAGGCAGCCGATCAATGACTCACTGATATTTCTGTCTCTCCCTTCCTCTCTCTGAAACCAATAAAGACATATTTTTAAAAATTATTTATTGATTTTAGAGGAAGAAGGGAGAGAGGGAGAGACATTGATGTGAGAGAAATACATTGATCAGTTGCCTCCCATATGCGCCCCAACCTGGGATCAAACCCACAACCTAGGTATGTGTCCTGACCGGGAACTGAACCTGTGATCTTCCAGTGCATGGGACGACACTCCAACCAACTGAGTAAACCACATCTTCTTTATTCATCCATCCATCCATGGACACTTAGGCTACCATAAATAATGAACATGGGCTTGCAGATATCATTTCCTTCAGAAAAATACCTAGAAGTGGAATTGCTGGATCATATGGTAGTTCTATTTTTAAATTTAGAAACCTCCATACTACTTTCCATAGTGGCTATACCAATTTCATATATATATTAAGAGAGATTCACGTAACATAAAATGCACATTTTTGCCTTTTAAGGGTTTTTTAGTATATTCACTATCTTGTACAACTGTCACCACTATTTAATTCCAGAATATTTCCGTCATTCCAAAAAAAAACCTAGTACCTCCCATCCTTCCTCTCTCCAGCCCCTGGCAACCACTAATGTACTTTCTTTCTCCATGGATTTGCATATTCCGGTCATTTTATATAAATGGAATCAAACAATATGTGCCTTTGTGTCTTTCACTCAGCATGCTGTTCAGAATATTTAACATAAAGATTCGCCCATGTCATAGCATGCATCAGTATTTCTTTCCTTTTTTGGCTGAATAATATTCCATTGTAAGGATATATAACATTCTGCTTGCCCAGTCATCTGTAGATGGCCATTTAGGCTCTTTCCACCTTTGGCTATAGTGAATAATGCTGCCATGAACATTGGTGTGCAAGTATCTGTTGAAGTCCCTGTTTTCAATTCTCCTGTGTATACATTATTCCTATTTACAGTTGAATAATATTCCATTGCATAGATATATCACATTTTGTTCATTCATCAGTTGATAAAAATTTGGGTTGTTTCCACCTTTAGGCTATTGTGAATCATGCTGCCATGAATATTCATGTACAAGTTTTTGTATGAACATGTTTTCAGTTCTTTTGGGTAAATACCTGGAATTGAAATTTTGGGTCACATGGTAACTCCATGTTTAATTTCTGAGGGACTGCCAGACTTTGCCACAGTGGCTGCACCATTTTACATTCCCACCAGCACTAGACAAAGGTTCAAGGGTTCCCATTTCACCACATCCTTGCCAATACTTATTTTCCACTTTTTTATTATTAATATTGCCATCCTAATGGGTGGGTAGTATCTCATTGTGGTTCCCCAGTCCTTCTGACTTTCCAGTGTACAAGACTAGCATGGTCCTGCAGCATAGGAAACTGGGTGTACCCAGGAGAGCTAATGCCAAGGGAATGTGGTTGGTCAGAGTGCTGAGAGCACAAGTCACAAGCTGTGACTTTGAGCAAACCACTTCCCCTGTCTGTGTCTTAATGGCCTCAGCTGTAGAATTGGGATGGTAACACATACCTCAAAGGGTGGATATGAGATTTCAATAAGACAATTCTTGTGCCAAGTGCAGAGTGAGAACAGATAGTAGTATGCACTGTTTGTTTTTTTAGAACTCAGCTCTGAGAATCTCACTTAGCACTTCCTAGGTAGAAATGTGCTTCCTCCTCTGGGTTCCCACAGATCTTGTTCAACTGGCATTACAGCTCCCCTAGTGGCCCTAGGGTGCAAAGCAAAAATTCATGAAGTTTGGAAGTCATCAAAACAACTTTGCTTTTCCCTCCACTGCTTTACTCTGTAGTAGAATCTTGCCTTACCCTGGCTGAGAATTCTCTCTGGGACTCAGGCCCAGATCATCATTACATTCAAATCTCTAAACTTAACTTGGTGTCACTGTGGCTGCCTGGCCCTGCACACACAGACAGTTCTGGGTGACTTCAAAGAAATCGGCCATATTATAGTCTGTATTATGACTATTAAAAAAATTAACTTGGGGGGCAAATGACATCAGCAGACTCAAGAATTAGGATACCAGTTTAGTGTTTTTTAAAATGTGTTTATTCTCTCATTTATTGACCACATTGTTTCTGACTCTGCATTCGGGGCAAATCATTGTGATGGAAGCTCAGGTTTGCATACGGCACCTACTTGTGAAATCAAACCCGCATGGCGGACTGAAGGACCATAATAAATGGGACCCCAAACCCTGTCAAGAAAGCAAGTATACAGTGACAGTGCCTGGAAGCCAGGAGGTGCCAGGAGCAGGTTCCTAGGAAAGGGCAATACTCCCCTTCTTCTGTGAGTTCCCAGAGGCTAACTCACTCTAGGGAAGCTGACTCTGGGTCATTTCTACAAACAGCACTGAGGTCACCCCTTGAGGAGAGAGGTACTGGAGCTGCCCAGCACCGAGGAAAGAGCCTGACTTGCTGGATGGAATTATTCACAACATAGCAATGAGCTATTCTGTTTCTCCTCTGTAATTAAAAAATAAAGCTTATCTTGAAAACAGAAAGGAGAACTGGGCAGGAGCTTGATCAGGCTCTCTGCTGAGTTGCCCCTTCCCAGTCATGAAGCCTGCCCAGCCACTCCTTGTGGCCTCAGCTTCCTACTGGGAAAAGGGAGTCTGGGCAGTGCTGCACTTGCAGAGTGGGTGCACGGCCCCCAAACTGGCCAAGGGCTTAGCCTGGCTCAGAGCAGGCACCTGGCATGGAGAGCAGTGCAGAAAGGAAGGCAGCTGATGGTCCCTGAGGCACAGGGTTGGGGCTCAGGGGAAGTCACAGTAGGGTAGGCGGAAGGGGTAGAGGGGTGTGTAGCGTGAGTCCTGCCAGAGCAGCTTCTCCTCCAGAAAGGCAACAGTCCGCAGGGTCAGGACCAGCGTTTGGTGCTTCAGCATGCTGTGCACGTTCAAGCCTGGGGGGCAGGGAGTATAGTCAAGGCAGGGCTGTATCCCACATCTGGAGACCCTTTCCCTCCTCCCAGGAGCACTCCCCCTTACAGAGACACCATGGTCTGGCATGGGGTCAAGAGCCCCTGAGCCTGTTCAAACCCTGGCTCAGTACCTCACCACTGGGGAACCCTGGGCAAGGAAATGTCAACACATCACCTGACTAAGAGCCTCCCACGTGCCCGGCTCTGCCCATAGATGGGAACAGACCACAGACAGTGCAAATGAATAAAAACAATGTACTGAGGGTACCCAGTGTGGCTGCAGTTAGTGAGCAAGGAGAGAGGGAGGAGGGAGGGCAGGGATAGGACAAGGCAGGTCTAGCAGGGTCTCAGGGAGGACTTGGGCTTTTCCCCCTGAATGTAGTGGGAGCTGTGGAGAGCTGGGGGCAACAGAGGGATGTGCATGGACTCAGTGCTCACAGGTATCCTCTGGCAGCTAGAGTGGGGGGATAGACTGTGAGGGTGAGGGCAGGAGAGGCTGTGTTGATCCAGGCAGGGGGCTGGCCCAGGGTGGTAAGAAGTAATTGGATCCTGGGTATGTTTAAAGACAGAGCTGCCACTCAGCCGGGCATGGCTTAGCGGTTGAGCATTGACTTAGGATCCAGGAGATCACTGTTCGATTCCCGGTCAGGGCACATGCCCAGGTTGCGGGCTCAATCCCCAGCAGGGGGCGTGCAGGAGGCAGCTGATCAATGACTCTCTCATCATTGATGTTTCTCTCTCTCTCTCCCTTCCTCTCTCTGAAATCAATAAAGATATATTTAAAAAAATAAAAATTAAAAAAAAAATAAAGACAGCTGCCAACTGCATTAGCCGACTGGAGTGGAGGGTGACGGAGTGATGTGGCGCCTAAGCCACTGGAAGGAAGGATGCTCATGAGACCCCTTTGTGCAGCTACTGAGAAGGCAGCAGGACATGCAATCAGGAGACTGGGAGAAAGCTCTGGGAATCAGTCAACACAGAGAAGGGTGTGATGTGCTCAGGACAGATCTGATCCACCTTTCTGAGTGAGGAGCCAGGTGGGGACAGCCAGTGGGCCCTCACACTCACTCCACACTCAGCACTGTGACCGGGGCTTGGACAAATGTGGTATCAGATGTCTTTATGAAAGACATCATTCTCCCAATGCTCCGTCTGGGCCAGCTGAGAGTGGGGGAGGGTGGTTACTGTCCAAAGCTACTTAGTGATTGAGAGGCAGATACAGGATTTAAACTGACCCGTGCACTCCCTGGGGACCTGGGGGTGGACCAGTGCCCTTCACTCACCCACAGCTGGGACCAGGTTGCAGGTCTTAAGCCCCAATGTGGCTGTCACAATGTTCTGAGGCATATCCTCATATGCTCTGAAACAGAGGCCAGGAGGTGAGCCCTGTGGAGGATGAAGCTCAGCCTCCCTACCCCCACTCTGCCCTGCATCCTCACAAGTCCACTAGGAGCACGGAGTCCCCCCAACGGCGGTAGCAGGCCAGCTCCGTTAAGTACTGAGGGTCTGCGGTTGGCAGCTCCAGGGAGTCCACAATGTGCAGGTTGTCCTGGTGGGGGTAAGGATAGATGGTCTGAGCCATCACCTCCCTCACCCCCACAGCCCACACACCCCAGGACCCTAGTGGCTCCTGCTGGGATCAGAGCTGTACCTGGGCCAGCTTGATAGTCAGCGCCACTTTGAGGCCCTGCACCCGCACTTTCATGGGCAGCATGTAGTAGTAGCTTGTGGGGCCCCGGGGGCCATGGGCAACGCCTCCTGTGGGAATAGAAATGTGTAAACAGGTGAGGGCCCCAGCCAGACCTGGAGGTCAAAAATTAGCCCCAGTGGCTGGTGTGGGGGTAGGGAGGCTCAACTCCAGCAAAGAGGGCAGGGTCTCAGGTAGGAATAGAGAAGGGAGGCCTGATTGGATATCACCTGAGACTGGTGACTTCACTTCCCTGGGCCTCTGTTTCTTCAACCATCAAACCCTGAGTGAGGACTGTCTACCTGTGGGTCTACCCTCTACTGGGCCCTAGGAGTACAGCAGAGAACAAGATGGAAGGATCCCTGCCCTCACGCCATTCATATTCACAGAAAGGCTTGACTACAGAGGGAATCAGGGCTGGGCAGGAAAGGGCAGCAAAGGAGTTGGGGGGCACCAGGGAACCCAAAGGAGGTCAGGGATGGCTTTCTAGAGGAGGTATAGCCCCAACACATTAGAAAGAGGAGCCCTAGCCAGTGCTGCTCAGTGGTTAGAGAGTAAGCCTGAGGACTGAAGGCTACCCGGTTTGATTCTGGCCAAAGGCACATACCTTGGTTGCAGACTCAATCCCCGGCCCTGGTCCGGGTGCATGCAGGAGGCAACCAACCGATGTGTCTCTCTCACATCAATGTTTCTCTCTCTCTCTCCCCCTTCCACTCTCTCTGAAAAGCAATGAAAAATATCCTCCAGTGAGGATTTAAAAAAAAAAATGAGCAGAGATGGCCAGGCAAAGGGGAGATGACCCTGAGTCAGTGCTATCTAGGCAGAAAGGGTGTGAAGGGGACATGGGGAGGGGTGTGCAGCCACCAGTGGCTGGAATGCCAAGCTAAGGAGCTCGTACAAAGGCTGCAGGAGTTGGGAGGTTTAAGAAGATCCCTCTGAGTATTATGTGAAGTGTGGGCAAGGAGAGGTGAGATGGGAGGTAGGGCCAAAAGGGGCTATGGTCATAGTCTGATGAGGAGGCCAAGGCCAGAGCTGGCAGAGGGTGGGTGGAGTTGGGGAATAGGGGGATGGGAAAAAGTGGATGACTCTCAGATCTCTACCTGCATGTGAGCAGTGAGGTGGAAGGAATGGGGCCGACAAGACATCGCGCCAGATATGTGTAAAGAAACACCCAGATCCCGAGTTAGCCCAGAGCCTCCTCCTCACCCTGCCCACTTACCTCCTCGCCAGATTGGGGAGCGGATACTGCCATGCCTTGCGCGTCCACTGCCTTTCTGTGGCCAGGGCTTCCGGCCACCACCCCGCACCTCAGCTCTAGTCTTGGTCTTGGCATAGCTCTGTGGACACAAAGTGAGGAGGGGTCAGGTTCATGAGGCAAATGTCATTGCAGCCCCAAAGCACCAAGCCCAGGAATATAGCAGTGACCTAGGTGGACTGGGCCTGCCACTGGGGAGCCAGTCAGGAGACACAGAGATTGGGATTCCATCAGGACAAGTACAGATCACTTTTGGAGGGAGGGAAGGATAAAGAAATCAAGAGTTCCCTCCTCCACTCCAGCATTTCAGCCTCAGAAAGACAGGGGCTTTGCTGCCTGGCATACATAGTAGTTGCTCAGTATTTTTTTTAATGATTTCAATGTGGCTGCAACTGAAAGAAAGGCAGAACTTGGGGAAAGACATGGAAAGAGAATCAGGGAGAGGTGCAGGGTAGAGAATCATGAGGGACTATCAATGCCAGGCTGGTGACTTCATTCTAGGGTGACAAGGAGCCAGGGAGGGTGTGGGCAAGGGGAGAACTCGCCAGATTCTGAGGTGGGCAGATGGAAGGCAGAGATCTTGATTGATAATGGCTTCTTCAATGATCTTGGCATAAATTCCAAGGTCCTCACCATTGTTCCTGCTGACCTCTAAGCCACACTGGCCTGTTTTTGGTCCCTGCCACAAGGCATCTGTATGTGCTGTTCCCACTACCTCCACCCCAGCCTCACTATCCTTCACCTAGTTACTTTTATGCACACCTGAGGTTAAATCCCCCCTTTTGTGGGAAAACTTCCCTAACTATACATTGACAGGTATGACTACTTGATTCACATTCATGTCTCCAACCAAACTATGAACTTCATGAGAGCAGGTATCTCTCCTGTCTCATCCTCTAGCACAATGTCCAGTGCATGGTAGATGTTCAGAAATTTCCTGGCAAACGACTCATCAGTGAATGGTCAAAGAGAGAAGATGGACCCAAGCCCAGTAGTCCAGAGACAACATACCAAGGGGCTTCCTCTGCCCACCTCACCCCACTCAGGAAACTCACAATTCTCTTGAAGTTCTTCTGCCAGATGGAGACCTGGTGCAGGATATCCAGCCTATGGAGGAAGGAGACATGAGACGTCTGCCTCAACTTAAATCTCTCCCATAGTCCCCACCCCACTAGATGAAAACCCAGGTTCCTCCCTTCTAGCACCGCCAGGGCTCTGTGTGATCTGCCCAAGCCTCTCTTTGACCCCAGGTCTCGCCACCTTCAACCCCCCTCCATTCCATTCTGTGAAATGGAGTCTGGCTTCTAGGCCTTTGCACTTGCTGTTCCCTCTGCCTGAAATGCTCTTCCCATGACCCGTTTCTTCTCAGCCTACAGGTCTCAGCCCAAACATTATCACCCAGAGGAGCTCCCTTGCAAAAGAGAGAGTTATACCTTCCTCCTTTCCTTCATTACAGCTTAATGCCACCTTCATGAACTGGTTTGACTCCTTAGCCCTGCACTGTCCCATACAGTAGACACTAGTCATGTGTGTGGCTACTGAACATTTGTTTCTTCCTATTGTTTTAAAAAATGTGGCTACCAGAAGAGTTTAAATTACACATTATGTAGCTCACATTATGTGGCACGTTGGACACGGCTGCCAGGGTAGTAGTCTGCCAGGAGTTGGAAAACTATGGCTAGTAGGCCAAATCTGGTCTGCTGCCTCTTTATAAATGTTTTACTGGAACAAGGCCATGCTCATTTGTGTATGTATCATCTATGGCTGCTTTTGCACTACATTGGCAGAAATCAATAGTTTCCATGGAGACATTAGTCTGCAAAGCCTAAAATGTTTATCTGACCATTTACAGAAAAAGTTTGCTGATCTCTCCTCTAGACTATAAGCAACATCAGTGTTTATTTACTATACCTAGAATGGAATCTGGCACATAGTAGGTGCTTCATAAATATTTACAGAATAAACAAAATATGTTGTTTTTAAATTTTTTTTTGTCACCCTCTACTAGATGAGGACTCTGTACAGGCAGGGGCAAACTATACAAATAACAGTAAGAGTAATGAATTAATAGCACTTACTATGTGCCAGATACCATGCACATGAGACATCATACACCTGGGCAAGCAATAGCCCAGCCCTGGGAGATGGCCCACATAAGGTTGAGATCCTGGCTCTAAAGTGTATAAGCTGTATGACCTTGGGCACATTTCTTAACCTGTCTGTGCTCAGTTTCCTTATCTACAAAATAAGGATAACAGAACCCCTTCCTAGGGTTTCTATGAGATCTAGTTATTTAAAATGCAAATAGGCTATGCCAGGCACACAGTAAGAGTTTAGATCCTGTTAGTGACCAGTTTTTTTAAAAAAACAGTAACAGCAACGATAATCAACATTTTTATAGAACTTATTATGTGCCAGAATTAACCCATTTAATCATCACAGCAACCTCTTGATGTTTGACGGAATGGGGGAAGGGAAGTTTTGTGTTCTGCAGGCTGCAGAGTTCTGCGTCCTTAACTCGCCGAAAGGATGTTACCTCTCAGCTCTCAACCTCACCGCTCTGCACTAGGGAAATTATCCCCTTTTGACAGGTGGAGAAACTGAAGCTCAAGCCCTGGTCAACCTGATTCCTAAACCAGCGTTCACTGTCCCTTTGTCACCCAGTTCACCATTTCAGCTCTCGTTCACCTGGGCGCCGTGGAGAAAATGTCGGGGTGCAGCTCGGCCAGGCCTACGCGCTCCTGCTCGAAGCCCCGCAGGGACTCGACCCAGGCCTGCACCGGACGCCGGTGTGAGGGTATGGGAAGCTCGCACTTGCGCAGTACCGGTGCCTGGGGACCTGAAACAATTGGGAAGTCAGGGGTCAGGGACAAGGGTTAGAGCTCCCTGTCCCTTCCCCTCCTGGGGCGACCCCGACAACCTCACCCGCGCTCGTCACCAGCTCTGGCTTCTCTGGCGGCTGCACTGCCTCTTCCGCCAGCACGCTCAGGCCCTGTAAACGGTGGGCGAGCGTGAAAGACGACCCCCGGGCCCTCCAACCTTTGTCCTTCGACCCCGCCCCCAATCTCCAGCCTCACCTGGCAGCGGGTGGAAGGCAGCCAGGCCCGCGCCCCGACCCGGACTAGCCGCAGCATTGCGGCGCAGCTCCCCACGCCGAGAGGTCAAGGATCCCTCTGGACGCGCGCGGCGCCTCGCGATTACGTCACGTCCGCGACGCCGCCTGCTCCGCGCGGTTTTGCCGTCGGAAAGGAGAGCGTGCGAGAGCGAGGACGCCGTGGCTCGGCGCAGCGAGCCCCCACCGCCATCCCAAGACTAACTCCAGGACCCCAGTTTACAGTCCTGGCCCAAAGGACCCTCGGCGACACCTGGGAACGCCGGGGCCTGCTCTCCAGAGTCCCCCCTCCCCCAAGAGCCTGTGCTTGTTCAACCAATGAGCGTTAAGTCTGGAAAAGTGACCCGCCCTTAGGGGCGGTCCTGGGGTGGGCGCCTAAGGAAGTATGACCAATGGCTGTTACGGTTTTCGTGTAAGCCGCGTCCTCCCGGCCCCGCCCCCACCTAGCCTCCGAGACTCTTAGTAGTGCTTTTATTCTATCCAATAACGAGGTTTTGTTTGTTTGTTTACAATACAAGCAGAGTCGTATCTCCTACAGAAAACCCTCACGCCTGTCCGCTTAGATCCCCCAGGGCAGGGCTGTGTCCCCCTCAATCCGCTCAAATTAGGTCCGTGTCTCCTAGGCCAGGATCCTTTGCGCTCTGAGACCTGCCAGGACTCTCCGAGGAGAGAGCAAAGTGGAGAGTACACAGATCCCGGATTCTCTCGCTCGTTGCCCACGAGAGACAAGTCCAAAGGCTCATTTTTAGCATTTTTCCACGTTCTCCGCACGACCTCCAAGGGGCGCTACAAGCCCATAGCAGTCTTCCCGGCCGGGTCAGACTTGATCACCTAGAAGTCAGTGCGGTCTGGACCGACCTCAGTGGCCGGAGAACGTGGTCTTTGAGCCATCCTCAGTTTTTCTATCTGGAAAATGGGGCGGTTGTGGGGCTTTAATGAAATAAATAGAGGCGAAGCGTGCCATGCTTGGCACAAGGTGAAAACTTAATACATAGAATTATTATTTATCATTATTATTAAAAGTGAATTTTGTCATTAAAGTGAGGCAAGAGCCAAGGCAAGGATAGGGTTGGACCCTAGAGGATTTGAATAATATGCTAAAGATGTAAGTTTTTTGGGTTTTTTTTTTTTTTTGCATCTGATATATAACATATGGATATTTACATGGTATTAATGAAAACTTACAATGTATTTCATTGTGTATTCTATCCCTGCAAGAATAACTGTGAATGTGTGTTTAAAATTCCACACTCTGCAATTTAAAAAAGACTTTTAGTCCTTTGTTTTGTAGAATTTTATTTATTCATTTTATGTTTGCATAGGTAATTTGCACCTGGTAAAGAAAATCTCAGAAACTACGAAAGGATAACTAGAGTGAAAAATCTATCTTCTACAGCCTCTGTCCCCTGTCTCCCACTGAGGTCCCTTCCCAGAAGTCACCACCACAAACAGCTGTGTGTCTCAGAACCAGTTTATGATTTTACAGACAGACTTACCTCTGTCCTGTGCCAGGGAGTTTAGATTTTTTGTGGTGAATGATGGAATGGCACTTAGTTGCTTAATGATTATATTAGGCACCTACTGTGTACCACTGGTAGCACCCTTAAGATACAGTCCAGTGAAGAAGGCTGAGGGATCAGAATGGGTGAGGGAGAAGGTCTTCAGGGTCTGTGGGAAGCCAGGGGAAGAACTTCTAATGGGTGGGATGAAGTCTCAGAGCTGGCTTCTCTGAAGCTGTAATCTGAGACCTAAGGATTGAGGGTCCATTGGCAGTTTCTACAGAGAAGAAAGTGTGTTCCAGGCCGAGAGAACAGAAGTTATTGTCTGGAAATGGGGAGAGTATAGCAGGTTTGGGGGAGCTAGACCTTGATGGTCACATGCCTTGTTGACTCATTCATTTATGTCAACCCACCTCAGGGTATTTGCAAGAATATTCCTGCCCAGCCCTAGCCAGTTTGGCTAAGTGGTTAGAACATCAGCCTGATGACTGAAGGGTCCTGTGTTCAATTCCAGCCAAGGGTACATACCTCAGTTTTAGGCCCACTCCCTGGCCCAGGATGGGGCAAGTGCAGGAGGCAACCAATCGATGTGTCTCTCTCACATCGATGTTTCTCTGTCTCTCTCCCACTCTCTCTGAAAAGCAATGGAAAAAATATCCTCAGATGAAGATTTTTAAAAAAATAAAAAATAGCCCAGCTGGGCATGGCTTAGCCGTTGAGCATCAACCTATGATCCAGAAGATCAAGGTTAGATTCCCAGTCAGGGCACATGCCTGGGGTTGTGGGCTTGATCCCCAGTAGGGGGCATGCAAGAAGCAGCCAATCAATGACTTTCTCATCACTGATGTTTCTATCTCTCTCCCTCTCCCTTCCTCTCTCTGAAATCAATAAAAACATATTTAAAAAAAAAAAAAATCACTGCTTCCTTCCTACCCTACATTCTTTTGCTGCCTTTCCCAGTGTCATTTGTTTGCAGAACTTTCACCAAATACTAACAGATGGCATCATGTTCTTATTTTCCTGATGCTTGTCTGTTTCCCCCAACTAGAATGTCAGGGTTCTTTGTTTCTCTCACTGCTAGACCCTATTGCTAAGAAGGGTGCCAGGCACCTAGTATATTCTCCGTACATAGTAACTGAACAAATAGAATGTAGAGAAAGCACTTTACACACTTTACTCCCATCCCCCCGCCCAGCATATTGATTTTGAGCCTTAATGAAAAAGAGGTAATGACCTTGAGACCTACATACTGCAAGGCTCAAAGTTTGACCATTTTGGCCTAAGCCTTGGTGGAGGTCAAAGGTCAACATCTCCAGCCCACTCCTGTGGATAAAAGGCTCAACTGCAGGTAACCCCTGTCTCCAGTGTCACCCTTGTGACTCAGAAAGGATCTCTGCTGGCCCAGCCGGAGTGGCCTAGTGTTTGAGCACTGACCTAGGATCTAGGAGATCACAGTTCGATACCCGCTCACTCAATCCCCAGTGGGGGGTGTGCAGGAGGCAGCCAATCAATGACTCTCTCATCATTGACGTTTCTATCTCTCTCTCCCTCTCCCTTCCTCTCTCTGAAATCAATAAAAAAATATATTTAAAAAAAAGAAAAAGGATCTCTGCTTGTCACAAGCATGATAGCAATTTAGGGAGCACACATTGTAAGCTGGAGGGCCCCCCAACATCTGGCCTTTCCTAGCCTCCCCATCGCTGTGCAAGGGTTTTCACAAAGGTAAAGGCTGCAATATGGGGGGCAGCCCTCAGGAGATGCAGAGCATGAATGTAGGCTTGATTGAGGGGATCTGACCTACTGGGGAGAACTTTCTAAAGTGCTCCCCAACACCTGGCTGGCATGGCTCAGTGGTTGAGCGTCGACTCATAATAAGATCACGGTTCAATTCCAGTTCAGGGCACATGCCCAGCTTGCAGGCTCGATCCCCTATAGGGGTCATGCAAGAGGCAGCTGATCAATGATTCTCTCGATTCTCTCTCATCATTGATGTTTCTATCTCTCCCTCTCTCTTCCTCTCTGAAATTAATAAAAATATATATTTTTAAAAAATTAAATAAATAAAGTGCCCCCCACTACCAACTGCCAAAACATCTGTGTGCAGCTCAGTTTGTGGGTAACTGCCAACCCCTGGAGGAGGAGTATCCAACTGAGTCACCCCTCTACCCCCAGCCCCTGGGGATGGGCCTGATTTGCATAGTCATTTCCATTCTCTTTTAGTTACCCTTCAGTTTAACCACAATAGGAATTTGGAGAAAAAAAAACACACACACACAAAAAAACACAGAACCAGTACACCAATCAAGTCTTGGCAAAAATTCAAATTCTCCTCAGGGCTTGAAACCATGGGCAGGGTACTTGGGCTCACTGGACCTCAGTTTCCTCTTCTGCAAAATGAGGTGTAATTGCCCTTATCTCACATGGTTTGTGCCCAGCTTGAGCCTGTGTGCCCTCAGACACCCACTTCCCACCCTGACCCTGACCCCTACATACAACATCTCCCTTGTCCACTGGTTTCTGTCCAGATTTCGCCAATGGCAGGCACTGAGGGTAGATTGAAAGGCAGGAGGATGGGAGAAGCCAGAATATTTCTTCCCAATTGCTCCTGTCAGCATTTCCCACTGGACAAGGCCTACCTATGTGCTAATATCTAGTCTCACCCTGTTTATACTTGGGTTTCTTATTTGTGTATTAAATCCTTTATTAAATCCTCTCTGTTTGAGATACTTCTATTTTCTGAGGTAAGGCAGCTGTGAGGGATTTTGTTTGTTTTTGTTTTAAGATACAATTTAGATGCAGTAGTCTTCCCTTATCAGTGTACAGTTTTGCAAGTTTCCACAAATATATATAGTCATGTAACCATCACCACAATGGAGACATAAAATGGTTCCATTACCAAAAAATTCTCCCCTTCTGTAGTCAAATCCTCACTCATCCCCAGGCCCTGTCAGTTACTGGTCTGTTTACAGTCTCTATAGTTTGGCCTTTTCTAGAATGTCATAGAAATGGAATCATACGGCATGTAGCCTTTTGTGTATGGCTTCTTCCCACCCCCCGTTTTTTTTAATCCTCACTGGAGGAGGATATTTTTTCCATTGTTTTTTTAGAGAGAGTGGAAGGGAGGGAGGAGGGGGAGAGAAAGAGAGAAACATCAACGTGAGAGAGACACATCAATTGGTTGCCTCCCGTACGAGCCCTGCCTGGGGCTGGGGATCGAACCCACAACCGAGGTACATGCCCTTGACCAGGAACCGAACCTGTGACCTTTCAGTTCACCGGCCAATGTTCTAACCACTGATTTTTTCCCCCTCACCCACAGAATGAGGATATTTTTTCCATTGATTTTTAGAGAGAGTGGGAGGGAGGAGGGAGGGGGAGAGAGAGAGGGAGAAACATCAGTGTGAGAGAGACACATCCACTGGTTGCTTCTGGCAGGAGTCCCAACCAGGGGAGGGAATCAAACCTGCAACTCAGGTACATGCCCTTGACCTGGAATCGAACCCATGACCCTCTGGCGTGCAAGCCAACACTAACCACTGCGCCACGCTGTCAAGGGTCCCTTCTTATAATGTATTTGAGATTCATCCATGTTGTTGTACATAACTAATTCCTTCCTTTTGGAACTAGTGGTTCCAAATATATTCCTGAGTGACCTGTGTAAGGATGGATTGCAGTTTGTATACTCATTCCCTAGCTGGGGCAGCTGCTGTGAGCTTTTCATGAGTTCATATTTGTAAAATGTTTAGGACAGTATATATATGTCAGCCAT